TGCTTTCTTTCATCTTCTCTCCTTTTCTTCTCCACATTCCTCTCTCTCTGTCTCTCACTCTTTTTCCTGTTTCTCTCTCTCTCGGTGGGTGTGTGTCCCTTTAGGGTGTCTGCAGCGGTTGAGATAAGAAGCGAGTGTAGGACACAGGGGGATGGTGTTCACAGAAGCTAGGTGATCTTATCTACTCTCTCTCTCTCTCTCTCTCTCCCTCTCCCTCTCTTACCGAGCATCCCTCGCTGTTCTGCTTCTCCTCTCTGCTCTTCTCCTCCCCCTCTTTCTTTTTGCCCCCCCCCCACATCTCTCTCCTCTCCTCTCGTCTCACACACACACGCGCGCGTTCTCTCAGATCCCCTCTGCGCTGCTGTTGATTTGAATTTGAAGTGATGGGAAACCAAATTGGCAGCATTGACAGCAGAAACAAACAGCTTATCTCTCTCTCCTGGGCCAATATGGGTCTTAGTCAGATACTAGAGCCGCTGCCAGCATCTGACTTGTGACAATGATGATAAATTGAACGTTTGTTGACTGTCACTTTTCATGTGTATGTATGTGAGCTTGTGTGTGTGCGACTGCGTTAGCATCTCCGTGTCTACATACGTGTGTGTGTATGTGTGTGTGTGTGTGTATGTGTGTATACACTCAGTGGTGGAACATAAATAAAAAAAAGTACAGCATGTAAGCACAGTTTGGAGGTACTTGTACTTTACTTTTTTCAAAGTTTCAAACAGGGAAATATTTTTCTTTTTACTACATATATACGCAAACTTTAGTTACTAGTTAATTTGCAGTTTAAGATTTTTTATACAAAACATATGATAATTGTAGATGAATAAACCCACTTCCAAACAGATGTACTTATACCCGAGAGGATACCTCTGTGGGGTACGTGGAAAGATTGTGAATTTAAAATAATAATTATGATTTGGTAAAAATGGAAGTATCCACATATTTGTCATTAGAAGGAAAAACAGGCAGGATTATAAACTGTTATGAGGCTGATCTTAATTATATATTTAGTGTTATAATGAACAGTAAACTGGCTACAAAAGACCGAGGGCACAGGGTATGTTTGAGCCAGTTGTAGCACTTCGAGCATTTGGATTTACAAGATGTATGTAGTATAGAAATGATAGGAAATAAGGTAATGGGCGATGCCATGCAACAAAGGTCTCCAGCCAGACTCAAACAGGGGACATTGTAAGTGCATAGTCAGCATTTTTAAATCCTAATATTCTAAGATAAAATAAGAATCTATTTTTGCAAGTACATTGATTTGCTGCCTGAATTATGTTCCCTGGCGATACTTTTTCAAGTGTAGGAAGGGCTTCGTTTTTGTGTTGCCTGCAGGTCAGAGTAGGTGGTTGGCTGGATGGTGGGCGTTTAAAGTCTGTTTTAAACTAAGACCATGAACTTTCCCTAACCTTAACCAAAGTGCTTTTGTTGCCTAAACCCAACCACAGACAAGAGTCTGGATATGAACCCTTGGATTCTGGTGTCACAGTCCTGTGCTTTGTGTGTGTAGTGTGTAGTGTTTCATATAAATAAAGAAACATCTCTGAACATAATCCAGGCAGTGATTATGTTGTTACGAAAACCTTTTTATGAAAGCAATTCAGTGATAGTGATACAAATGCATTATGCTGTTTCAGTGAATCAGAATGAATAGTGTATTGCAAGTAGGGCTGCCCCCTAGTAAGAATTTTCCTAGTTGACCAGTAGTCGTCATATAGGGCCATTCATCGACTAGTCATCCACATGTTTACGCTATAAATCTAATTATTAAATGATATATTTTGGGTGGGGCAACACAATGGTTTTGGTTCAAGGTGTGAGAAAGAATAGTATCAGTAACACTGTTAACATTGTGCTACATTACAGAGAAATACAAAACCGTACTAATGAACCTTCATTAATATAGGCCTATATTTTATCTACAAGTGCATGTCACACACTGAGCGAGCCGCCTGTTAATGACGCTGTCGGCTAATGGGCATGTAGCTACTTCCATGTTTCAGATGATACGTCATGTTTGTAGTCGACCAACGAAGATGAGTTTACATATCATCTTGGATTCGTCCTTTACTTCTCAAAATGATGCCACACTTTGGATTTCCTGCTGGACATGTTATTAACTAGCCTGTGTGATAACGGCAGGTACCAGCCCTGGAAATTAATGTGACTTCTGTCTGACTGCTGAGCGTGGCCACTTCCTTTGTCTGTCCTTTCAAATTAAATTCCTACATGGTCCAGTCATATAGGTTTTGATTTATTTTGACAAGGTGCAGCTCCTAATTTTTCACGTTTCACGTTTGTGTTTTTTGTTTTGTCTGCGACTAAGCGACCAATGAAATCTCGCTGACTAATGACCTTTCTGGTCAACTAACATTTGGTTGACTATTAGAAGGCAGCCCTTACTGCAAGATTGCCTAGTTTGGCAAAAAACAAATGAAAAATGCTGTCAGTTTTTTTTGCTAATACGTTCAGTATAAACATTTTTGTGACTTGCTTGATATTTTAATTAGCAACATTTCCTCATTATGTTCAAAAAGACCACTATTCGCTCAGCATTATGTGCCCCCCTATAAAACGTATTTGCTCTTTCAAATTAGTAGTAGCCTATGTAAAAGCAATTTTTTAGGAGACAGGTCCGGCCTGTGAGTGTTGAAACGTAACCATAAAACACGTTTGTCAAGCTTTAGATGCTACAAGCTTATATTATATGGAAAAAGTGGATATTGTAGAAAAACAAATTCATTATTGTCATCAAACTCTCCATTGATATCTTCAGTGTCAATATTTTGCAACTTGGCAAATATGTGATTTGGCAAAGTTATCGTGTTAAAAGAATAGAAAGTGTAATCCTGGTGCCATTATATTTTGTAATGACAGTATTTGTAGAGATGTGTAGTATAGAAATGTAATTTCTAGGCAGCAGTGTTATATAAAGGGACACTTGACCTCATCTGACTGGGCTGTGGATTTGACATGACTAGATGAGACAAGAGAGGCTGGGTACCCCTGGATTAACCTTCCCAACAGGAAATTAAGTAGTTGACATTATTTCCATATCAGCTACCCACAACATTATAATGTTGCTTACACGTGCATCTGTAATAACAAAAAGTGCAATATATAATATAACACTTAGAGATAAAAGTGCTATTTTGGGAGTATTTGTTACGTTGTGGTCTGGTATTGCTGCTGGATCTGAACACATCTTCCATTACTGAATACACTGGATGCTGTGGGTGCCCGTGCTCCAAACACACGTGTGAGTGTCAGGCGTGTGAATCAGAGGCTCGCGTGTGTTTCCTGTGGGACAACGCCGGCATGTAGCGTTAACACGACAGGCCCGGAGAGGACGAGGAGGTAGCCAAGCTGTCAGCGGCCAGCTCCCACTTCGCCTAATGAGAAAGAGGCCCGTTAATTAAAAACACCAACAGGCGGAGCTCCCCAGTGTCCCGCCATCAGGACGACCCGGGGTTAAAGACACGGAGCCGAGAGGATGGGAGGCATGCTGCTTCTACATACACTACATGGTGCTGCCCTCAACAATAAATAGCCCCCAGTATGCAAGAAGAACAAAGCAAAGCACAACTGGAAATAGCTTTAAGAGGAAGGGGCTTTCTTTAAACTGCACTGTGCTCGTGTTTATTTGGCGGGGGGAGGGGTCTGTGATGATCGTCTGCTCAGCCCTTGATGTTTCCAGAACAAACTGTGGTTCTTTTGTCTCTTTGTGCTCGTGTTAGTAGCATGGCAGCAGGGAACAATTTGTCAATGTCTGCACAGAGACTTCTGTGATCCAAAAAATGAAAATAAAATTACCCAAAAGCCAGTGCATTAAGAGGTTTTTTTTCCTTGCAGCTTTAATGTTTACCACATTGTTCACTAAAAGAACCCTTCAAATGCTTCAAATGTATTCTAATATCATCACTGTGCAAACCCACAGACTAATTGTCCCTTGTGGATGACTTTTCCTTTCTTTCCCTGAATTTATTTGAATTCCATTTAAGTTATTATTTTTTTTCATTAAGTTAGAAAATTTCCAGAGCAAATATGCAAAACACCTGCAAATACAGTGTGAAGAATATTTGCCTCAGATTGAATCGTGTCACCGCAGCCTATTGTGCAATCGTCTTTGTAAGTGTTTTATTAAACTGTCAAACACATGAATCATTAGCCTTGATCTGCAGATTGACAGTTTGTCAGCTCTCTGACAGTGGCGTGCGCCTCACTGTCAACAGGGGGTGGCGAGGGAGCGGCTTACACGTTCCCCACGGCTTCTTCTTCTTCCTTGCCTCCTGCGTCTCCATCTTCCTTCCACCCCCACATGTCAGCCCAGGTGCTAACAAAACCGAGGATTGTGGGTAGTCTTGGAACATATGGAGCAGGGAGACGGAGAAATGAAGGGTGGAGGGAGGGGAGGGGGAGGGCGGGGGGGTGAGAAAGAGAGAGAAGCTGTCAGGGAAATGTCTATCCCTGTCACAGCAGCCAGAAGAGTGCGATGGACGAATGGATAACTGCTATTTCAGACTGCCAGGGAGAAAGCACAGTCAGATTTGATGTGTTTTGCGGGCAGATTGGCTCTCGCGCAACAGAATGAACAAATCGTCGCATCTCTAAGCCGCAATTTTTGGTCTTTTTTTTTTTTTTTTTTTTTGCTTGCGTATGGATTGCGTTTGTGTACAGAGGAATGTTCCGTTTGTTCAGTCGCTGAAATGCTGTTCACTGTGCACAAACACGCGCAGGCACACACACAAACACGAGCAAATTCCCAGTGCGGCCATGTAGACAGAGTTTCAGAGCTATGGCTGCAGGCTTACTCTCTCTCTCTCTGTGTTTGTGTGTGTGTGTGTGTGTGTGTGTTGTTTTTGGCTATCCGCTGGTGATTGGTGCAGCCCCCTCCCATGTTTCTTTCTCTCCTTCTCTGTCCTCAGTTCACATAATATAATCATCTCTCTCTCTCTCTCTCTCTCTCTCTCTCTCTCGCTGTATTTCAGGCTGTGCCTTCCTCACCTACTGTGCCAGAGAGTCGGCCCTGAAAGCCCAGAATGCATTGCACGAGCAGAAGACCCTGCCAGGGGTAAGTCATACACGAAGAAACGCCATGTCGACCCAGAAGCGAAAATCTTACATAAACACATCTTGGATTCACTCCGGCAGACACACCAACACAGATGCTCATTTTTAACATATAATGCCGTATATTCATTTCAAATCAAAGGGGACTGACTGTCTTTGCCATGCTTGTCATGTTCTGTTTATCACTGGCTGTACACCAGACATGAGCACAGCCCTTCTTTCTCTTAAATATCAGCCCCCCCCTCTCTTCCACTGCCTCCCTCTGTCTTCACTTTGACAGTCACACACACAAACCCATAGGGAGAAACCACACACAGCATCGCATCATAGGCATACTATTTATAGTCCTTCCTCCAGTTTGTGTAAATGAGTGTGTGCCTCCGTGTGTGTGTGTGTGTGTGTGTGGGCAAGTGTGTGAGAGATAGACGGAGAAGGATGAGAAGTGGGTGAGTGGGTGGATGTGGGCTATTTTGTACATTTACGTGCACGCTCTGCATCATGAGTGTGCATCATGAATGTACATCACGACAGCGTATCTTCACAACAGATGTTCACATGCTGTGGATTTTTGCACTCACATGTACACTGCAGCTGGAAGCAAAGCATGTCTCGTTTCAATGCACAGCTCCTATTCATGTGCGCTGGAACGAAGGGTTTTTGGCGTTGTGGTAAAGAAGAGGTAGATATTCAGTTGTTAGTGTGTGTGTGTGTGTGTGTGTGTGTGAGGGATTATATGCATTGTGAGCATTTTCTTTAGTGTACACATGATTTGATGATTACATGTGCGCACGTCTGTAATACGTTTCAGTTAGTGTGTGTTTGAGCGTGCATGCACCTGATTGCACGTGCGTCCTATTCTTGCGTGTGTTTACACACGCAACCCGCCTGCGCATGTGTGCGTATGTGCGTGTTAGGAAGTTTTGATGCGTCTCTGTCAGGCCTGGCTTGGTTTGCTCTGTTCGTTTTTAATGACGCCTCCAGGGAAGCTGACAGTCGCCGTGTTGAGCGCACAGCCTTTGATGTGAGTGATTATGACATCACAGACGTGCAGCCGAGAAGAGCGGAGGAGTGGGGATCCGTGCTCTCAGTTTTTTTTTTCTCTTCCACTTCCCAGTGGCATATTATTCAGAAAGAAAGAGGGAGGGAGAGACAGAGACACAGAGAGAGAGAGGAGGAGAGATTAAATATTTGGCCAAAACCAGAATGCGATTTTGTGTTCACACAAAATGTGCTGCCGATTGATGTTTTTGCCTTTGTTGCTATTGTTTGACACAGACCTGAAGAGATGGGCACAAAAACAACCTTTTATAAGGATTCTGTCTTTACATGTTTAAGGGAAAGAGACTGTATTTGGCTTCACACGCTACATAGTAATGCATCAACAACGTTTAATCAGTCACTTGCAATCAACATTGCTTTAGAAGGAAATGCTAATTAGCACTGCCTTTGCCAGCGGAGGACAGTCTCAGGTTTGCATTTGATCGATGGTGAGCGTTAAGTAAACAAAGGTAATGCCATAGGACAGACCTAGATGCTCAACAAACCCTGAAGCCGAGCGTTTGGAGAGGCAGACCAGGAGACTGTCTTTTGTTGCTGGTGGAGGTAAAGCCAGCAAAACAGAATAAATGAGTTCATTAGAAACAGAGCGAGGACTTGGCCCTGGGAAAGGCAGTGGGACGTTTTATGGCACACAAGTACACTCTCTTTCCTCCGTTCCTTTGGGGTTTTTTTCACCTACCTTCTTTTCTTCCTCCTTCCATCCTCTATCAATCCCCCACTCACAGGCCAACACAACCAAAACCCTGCAAATGAAATCCCTTTTTTCCCCCTTAAAGCCTCTTTCCCCTTCACTTCGCGTCCTGATGCGCTTTTTATCGTCAAAGTTGCTCCCCAACCCTTACATTTAAAAAGTTTTCTGCCGTCTTTATTCTTTCGCTGCCAGGTGAGCTGAGAGAAGAGGGGATTTGGCTTCCTAGAGGAAATGCCCTGTAAGCATGGCTGTAGGCTGTTGGTGTAGCTCAGACAAAGTACTAAGGGCTGCCTTGTGTGTGTGTGTGTGTGTGTGTGTGTGTGTGTGTGTGTGTGTGTGTGTGTGTGTGTGTGCGTGCGTGCGCAACTGAGCAGGTGCAGTGTCAGGAGAGACTTTGGGTAAACAAGCGACAAGCAAAAATACTGATGTTAAAGTGACACTGACATTGAACTATTTGTGATAGATGACAAATTGTTTTCACATCCCTCATTCATAGTGCCACAAACTCAAGGTACACAGGATTATGCTGATGGAGAGTAACTTTCTGCTAACGTAATTAAATCAACTCTACTGACACAGAAACAACTGCACTGTATGAGGACACTCAAAACACTCAAGAGGTACATAATGATAAGAAGCACCAAAAGCTCCCCGCAGCTTTGGATGGATCACAGACCTCGCAAGCACAGGCCCAGGGGTTCAAGGGGGCCACAAAGGTGGTGTCTCTATTTGGAGTGACTGTTTTGAACATTTTTCATTGGTTCAGTAAAAAGTAGGGTGTCCAAATCATGCTTTTTTTGCTCCTGATCCCAATCCAAGTCCTTCAATTATGAGCCAATTAGTCCTGATATTTATTTTTTTATTGTCTTTTTGTTTATTTTCTCCAACATTATTCAGCTGCACAGTGCACACTTCAAGTACAATGAGCCTATCATAAAACTTCAGTTAAAAGCCGATTCTCAATTAAACAGTGAGTCCCTTTTAATGGCCAGGTGTGGCTACACATTCTGACCAATAAACCCCAGGTGTGTCTGCCACTGATGCTGCAAAGCACTTCTTTTTTATAGAAGTTCTTTGGATGTATTAAACCTCTTGAAGCCCAACGAGTTGTCGGCTACCTGCTTCAGCTAACATTAGTTGGCTGCTTAGATCGCCCATACAAGAATAAATGTTTGTCAGTATGGACATATACACATCATAAGCTTGGTTAGATTCTCTACAATTTAAACATTCATTGTACTGAATCCATGAGCACCAACGTATAATTCATTCAGATTTGCCGGACTGGTATGCAAGAGAGATGAAAAAAAAAAAAAAGGTAGTGACTCCTTGCCTCTGAAGCAGTCATGACATCTGAACTTGGATCTGTTTCTTGATTATTCAGCCTACATTCCTTTAGTCCATGGGGGTCCTCTGATCAAAATAATCAAAAGGGGTTTTCATAGAAATTAAACCAATTTGTGAACATTGTTTTAACAATACTGTTGTGTCAGTATGCCCTGTGTCATAACTCTCCCTCTCAAATGAATGATTCATAATCAATATGTTATAAGGTAGCCTTATATTTTGTACAAGTAATATTCATACTGGTTTAAATAAACAATTTGATAGTGGGCTACTTCCCATGTTTGCTGAGCAAGAGTTTTGTGTGAAAGGAATTAAAGGCCTGTCCCATATAGACCCCTGTCCAAAATATACACCAGCTGAATTCAGTGATTGAAGCAAATACAAGCCCGGGTTATTAATTGAAGTTCTACGGCACACTGAATTTAGTTAAAATAAATACAAATAAAAACTAAAACCATAGACTGTATAAAATAATGGCCGGAGCCACCGTGATATCACCCATTGGTTTGTGGACTCCTGTTTTGAAGCCTCCAGTTCAGCATTTCGTCTACACCATCTTGGATTTTTGGAGTCAGAGCTGACCATATTTGGATGAGAACATCAAGCTGTGGAGGAGGAAAGGGTGGATCTGATCCATAGACTGCTGCAACGCCTCGCAGAAATCCTGTCACTTACAGTAAAGCAGCCCTTATATATGTGTAAATTTAAGCCTTAATAAAATGCAAACAGGTGAGTTACATGAAAATTCATCCCCTGTACAGTTGTCATGAAGGGGGACATTAGCTATAGAGACCAAAACTGCTGTTCGTACCAGGCTGTAAACATGTTTATGTCTGCAGGAAAGTTGGGCATTTTAACATGGGGGTCTATGGGGATTGATTCCCTTCTGGAGCCAGCCTCAAGTGGCCAATCATGGAACTGCAGTTTTTGGCACTTCGAAATTCAGCTTTAATTTCCAGCCTCAGAGGTTGCCACTTGAATATAACCTGTACCACAAGTTTACATTGAATGTTTCCTATAATATATTGAATAACATATTTATTTTTGTTGTTGTTGTTTTTTGCAATATATATATCACATATAATGTGGATCTGTTTTGCCAGGAGTCTTTAGACAGCTTCTTAAATCTCCAGCATGAAGAATGTACTAACATCCAGATGTAGTTTTCAACCAACAGCAGCACTTTAGAGCTGTAGAAAAATGATAAATTCCCCCCCCCCCCAAAAGAATTTAATTATGTGGTTACTGTCTCTTTCGTAACCTGTCAATTCTTTCCAGTGTGGAGAAACACAGTCAATATAGTGCAAGATGTCCATTGAAGAAGTTTTGTGTCCTTAGCTGAAGTACACAGCTATTGAGCGGATAAATAGAGAAGGTTGTTTTTGGAGATAGTGACGTGAGACAGGCTTAAAATGGGGCGCGTCCCAAACGCCGGGCCCTGGCTGCCATATTTGTGATCCTGCGCTCCAGTTTCAGACTCGTACTACAGCAAGAGGCATTAAAAAGCCTCTATTGATTCTGGCAAAAGTCCTCACGAGTGGGAGGATGTGTTTCTGTAAGCGCACGTGTGTGTGTGGTTGTGTGCGTATGTGCGGGTCACAGGGTGGAGTTGCAGAACTCAAGCTAGTGCAGTGTGTGTACAAACCACAGGGTACAAATACCCACCAGCAAATCCTCCCTCACACACATAAATACTCTCTCACGCAAAAAATAAATAAATAAAATAATAAAAAAAAACTGATCTGGCATCCACTCAAACACACTGTCAGATTTACAGTATGTAGTGCTGAGGCACTACCATGTGCCCCCACACAGTGCACAAAAAGAGCATGCACTCCTGAATACTTAGCACCGTGTTCCAAGTTGGAATAATGCATAGAAATATACACCAGCACGCACAGGTA